GCATATAAATCTCACAATGAAGTTTTCGGAGGGTGAAGAAGTTCTTGCCAAGCATCCGAATACCTCTGAATATTATAAGGGAAAGATTCTCAACGTCAGAGGTGATCGATATAAGATACACTTTGAAACAGGCATTGAGTATACAGTTAGAGAAAATGATATAAAGGTAATTTATTAACAATTGATGAAGGAACATTGTTAAAAATTATACATTATTCTCTAAATTCTTTGGAGTAGAATTTGACTCGAAAGAGTAAAAATTGAACTACTCTTGAAAAAGAATGGCTTAATTTTCAATCTTTAAGAGTAAGATTTCACTCTTTAGAGTAACATTCATTCTAAAAGTTTTAGAGAATAAGGAATAAAATGAATTTATAAGATCAAAGTTTTTATCTTATATATATATATATTACATATATAATTTTTTATCCTCAAAGGCTGAAAGAATAGGGAGAATCTCGACCAGAACAAATAGAGCAACAAAAAGCCCTACAAGACGTTCTCCTAGTAGGAAGTCGCCAAGTAGGCGCTCGCCTGGAAGACAGTCGCGCAGATCCCCTGGAAGATCACCATCATCTACGACTAGGAAATTACCTATTCGTAGCACACGTCTCGCTAAAATATCTCTGTCTCGTATAGATGTCGAAAGCGGTAAGTATTTTCTTGTATGATATGCAACATTTGCCGCTTGTATTCTAATATTCATGCAAATTCGTTCCCATTCATGAACAGATAAAACAAGCAATCATAAAGGAAGCGAAATAAAGACACTGAATGAGAGTCCAACTGATTCATTGCCTTTACAGCAACGTTTGAGGGAAACTATGACTATAACACATAGACCATCGCTTCTGAAGACTGAGCAGGAATATAAATCGATTATATTGAGAAGTATTGATAGAGCTGCCTCGCTTCCAGTGGAAAGGAAAAGTTATGTACAAGATTATCCTCTGGGAGAAAAAGAAAGAGGATACTCAATGCAAAGAGATCAAGTATGTTTTAATAATTTATTATTAAATTCTATTCTGTCTATTCCCCTTTTTAAGTTTTATAATAGAATGGTATGTATATCGATAATTGTTTCAGGATATAACGAAATCTTTGCAAGAAGGCGAAAAATGGGAAACGGTTGTGAAACGTGAGAAAGAAATAAATAGAGTTGATAAACCGCAAGAATGGGGTGGATGGATTGGGACATTTTTCCTCACATTTATATTACCAATGTCCGTAATCTTACCACAACTCTTATGCTCAAAAGAACAATGCAAATTTGCACTTATAAAACTTTCTGCTGATGTGAAATCTTATATAAATTTATATGCGTTGCTGTCTTATATCGCATTTTTAACATTATTGGCTGGTATTTCGATTATACCGATTGGGAAAATCGTAGATGGGCAGCAGAGTAAAATTGGAAAACTCCAATATCGCATAAATGGTACATTTTAATATAGTGTGATTTTTAATTACGTTATTTTTAATGTTTTTTTTTTAATTTTTCAGGCTTTTTGAGCGCTATAGTGGCTATGATAGGACTTGGTTTATGTGTATATATAAATATACCGGTCAGTGAATATATTCTGAATAATATCGTGCAGTTATCTGTCAGTGGGTGGATTGTGGGAACGATTTTAGCTTTGGGATTGTATATTAAGGCAGGAAAAGCTCCAGTAATCAATCTGAATATATACGCATCAACTAACAGCAAGATATATAATTTTTGGCAGGGCAGAGAAATTAATCCACGAATTGGCACTTTGGACATCAAACTGCTGTTAATACGAGCTTCTCTTATTGGCACGGTAATTGTTATTTTGTTTTTATTTTTGCATGGATTATACAATATATAATAATAATTAAGTTGAATGTAATTATACAATTATATTCTCTATTTTGTAGTTGATCGTGAACATAGCCATCGCCCTTAAAGCTGTTGGCAATATAAAGAGTCCAAATATTGAGAAACTTGATGTAGCTACATTATTAGCTATCTTGTTGCAGCTATTTTATATTCTACATGGATTAATATACGAAGCTACTATCTTTACGTCCTTTACAATAATGTATGAAGGAACCGGATACATGACATGTGTTAGTCACTTGTTGTATCCATTCTTGACGACTCTTACCACAAGATTTATATTATATCAAAAGTAAGTTTAATAAATAAATGTATTAATATCTTATTAAAAAATAATATTTTCTATTTAATGCATTTTCAGGATAAAACTTGACTACTTTGTTGGCTTATCTATTTTGAGCTTTATAATGGGATATGTTTTGTATTACACTAGTAATTTGCGGAAAGATGAATTCAGGAAGAATCCAATTTCTCCAACAGTACCTTGTAAGTATAAAGACGAAAAATAATGATTCCTTTTTTGTAAAAATAAACTCATATTCTTAAAATTTACAGATTTGGAAACCATCCCGACATCACGTGGAAAGAAGTTGATGTTGTCCGGTTTATGGGGTCATGTGAGACATCCCAATTATTTGGGTGACGTTATAATGCATTGGTCTATCGCGAGTATTGGCTTGGCAAATGACATTCTACCATACTACACTGCGATCTGTTGTACATTAGTACTCGCTTATAGAGCTGTGAGAGACAATAAACGTTGTCAGATGCGCTATGGATATGCATGGGAGCAATATTGTTCGCGTGTGAAGTACATGATTTTGAAACGTATATTTTAAGACAACAGAACGCATAGCGTGGTATTTTTTAAATACCAAATTCTATATCAGTTATCACAGAAGATAACGTTTATTATATTTTATAGGATCTCTAATTTTGTGCATTTTACGATATTTTTATGAGATGACGTAGTGATATAGTATTATAAAATATACAAATATAGAATCGGATAAGAGCCAAAAATATTTTGATAATATTGACAGATAACACATTAGAGATATATATATATATATATATATATGTATATTTAAGTTTATAATATGAATCTCCATATATGTGATGAGAAGCGACCATTATGACACATGTTTTGATAAAGAGAAGAAAATTTATGTATTCGTAGGATAAGTATACGCATATTTGTTAAGACATGTGCCTGTAATATCGAGCATTATAAACTTAAAAATAAAATTAAGAAATTTTATACTTTTATAAATTAGAAGGGCATAAGTGTACAATTATAATTATTATAGAGACTATGATAAGCATTCTTTAAAAGACATGATTTTTTTAATAAAATAAAATATATTCTCATCTATTTTTTTGTGTTTATCTTGTAATTCTAATGTAGCTGTTTCCAATATAGATTTATAGTCATAATTTTTTGGAGTCTCTAATAGTTCACATGTCATATTTTTGAATTAGGAATCTATAATAGAAGCTATATATGAATATAATATTACGGGATTGTTCTAAATTTCTAAATTAAATTATATAACAAGTTACTGTTACGAGAAAGCCACAAAACAAATAAGAAGTGGTCATAAATAAAAAAAAATGTTACTATAACTTAAACGGGATTAAAAGTATTAGATGGATTGTTAATAATATAAAAATATGTAGTATATTTGTACACTTATTTTTTATTAAATTGCTCGTATATATACACGTACATCTAATTATTATAAAAACAATTCGTTAAATTGAATTGTTAAAAATATGTCCATTTGTCTGCAACATAATTGACAAACGGAAATTTAGATATTCTTACGTTGTAAATCAATAAGTGTCTTAGCCAATCGTTAATAGAGAATATCCTCTATTTTACATATTCTTCTATCTAACAAATATTATTTACTTCTAAAAAATAAAGATTTTTTCAAAATTGCGTGTATGTCTCACTATAAAATGATGAAAACAAATTTCTGTATATCTGTAGATCTATTCACGGTAGACACGTGTTTAATTGCCCAAATTATTAAATTATTATATATTTATTCACCTATTTTCATATAGTTATATTTATTTCTTAAAATTATATATTTAAAAATTGTCGTTAAGCCACAAATGTACTCTCTACATGACATTTTATTGCAATTTTGTTTTGAAGAAAAATATCTCATATTTGTACGTAACGATATCTGATATAATTCATATCTACAAATTGTATAAATGAAAAATGACAATTAAGAAAATAACTTATAATGTGTAGAAAGAATTATGTTTATTACCGATCCATTCGTTATATTTTCAATGTATTTCTACAAATTATTATTTATTATACTGATATCTAATTCTTTCTTTTATTTTATCAGTCGCTTTATTTGAACGGTTATAACTTGATCTGTTATTTACGCACTTTTAATATCTTCCTTAAATCTACTTTGTGGAATTAAGGGCCAGAGAATCATTTTGCATAAAAACGAGCCCTTGTGATCATGAAAGTGAACCAAAGTGTGTAAACTAATATCTCAAAAAATAATATATATTCGATTTTATATTATTTTATGAAGCTTTATCATTACAAAAATGACATTTGATCATGTTAAGAATATATTCTTTTTGCTGATACATTGATTAGTCGGATAATTTTCGATCAATTTGAAAAATAGTTTTTTCTTTTTTTGAGAAACTTAATCTTTTGAGTTATGTTACTTTTAAAGCAAGAGAGCGATATGTAAAATTTTGAGCTCTCTATTAAACATTATTATTAAATCTAACATCTGGAAGATTAGAAAAGAAGAGATTGAAATTTATTCTTTTTTATTTAATTAAGAAAAAATTAACAGAAAGAATAGAAAGATATTTTAGGTATTATTTGTTAAATCATTAAGTAATATATATTTTTTTTGACATAATGAACAATTTTTTAGTATATAAAAACATTTCAGGAATAAAATATACGATTTGGATCGCTTTTATCATGGACACAAGTATCTCATTCCGACACATTTTATTTCTGAATATCACACCGCAAATTTTGTTGTTCGCCTATTGACCCTTCTTGTACGAACATGACAAAGTTATCATGCTTCATTAGGAACATATTGTCGCTCGTCCGTATTGCTTATATATCGTTATATATGATATACTTTCTAATTAACGAAAATCTCATAAATCTCTGTTGGCACACACGAGTCCCCCGTTCTACTTTTATCGATAAATGTTTCGTGGCAGTACTTTCGATTCAGTACTTTCATCACCTGCTAGTATTCGGTGGACCTTCATCCCCGTGAAAAATATTGCACATAGTTCGATGGTCATGGTAAAGAAGATTTGAAAGGATCCTCCAGAATCGATTGGTCCTTTTTAGGCGTATACGAGGCCGAGCGGGATTCAGTTTTTAACATCCGTTCACCGCTCAGAAGAAGTAGAAGATCCAGTACACGGCGTTAAACAGCATGAAGCTGACTGGGAAGATGATTCGCGAGTATTTGTCTATCACGTTCACATCCTTGATCTTCGGCATTGACACACGTAACACGGAAGCTCCTCTACGTAGAGCATGTAACATCTACAAGATTTAATTGCAATTTTAGACTTAAGTATATTTTAATAAAATTTAAACTTTAGAAGCGATTTACAAATTTAGGAATGACTCTTATCATTCTTTTCATTTTATGCGGTTTTACATTTTTTATTTAAATATATTTTTTACAAAAAAAAATGTAAACTGCTAAAAGGCAGCGAAAATACTTGAGACATTTCCTAAGTATTTTCTATACAGTTACGTTTGTCTAGGACATGCTTTCGAATACCTTTGGCTTGTGCGGTCTTGGACCTCTGTATCTAAGACCGCTGTTTCGACTATGCGTATTGTAAGTGGCAGTCCTGGACATACGAAAACTCGGCGGAAATTTGGCCGGGTCATGGTCTCTTCCAGCTCCCAAAGTCGATGAAGCGCTGACTATGCCTGACCTATTTCTAATGCTCGGCAAAGGTGACATTCTAAGGTCCTGAAGCTCTATAATATCCGCGTCTGTGGAGCCAGGAAAAGGCGAACTGACTTTGCTCCCTGAAATGAAATTGGATAGATCGAATAAGCAAAAAATAATATATTAGGTGTTGGAATTAATTCGTAGCGTTTTTAATGAAAGAATGTTATTTATTTCACATGAGCATTAAAAAATACATTAATGAAAGTACTTCCCATCACTTGTAAAACGCTACGAATTAATTCCAACACCTAATAAATTTTAAGAAATTTTAGTATTAAAGGGTAATCGGTTAAATAAAATTATTAAACGTGTATCCAGACAGCACAAATATATCTGATAAATATATATATGATAAATATTTATTAATATTTATCGAAATTTTTATTTGAAATATTATTAAATATAGACTAAATATTTTATGTAATATTTATGATAAATATAAATAAATATTTCTAATAGATATTTTTTACTTAGATTATAATGTCTCACTATTTTCTAGGTATAATCTCTAAGTATTTATCTTTAATTATCATATCCACCAATATTTTAAAACTTCATTTTTATCTCGTAATATTTTTTTCGAAATGATGTTGTCTTCGAAAAAATATTTGATATAACTACCTATTGTTAACTGTTAAATAGTTAATTCTCGCTTAGTTATTCGTATAGAATTATATGCAGTAGAGACAGATACCAAAGCAAGAGGTAATCTACGATTTTGATAAAAACTTACTTATGTAAGAATAGAAGAAATATTGATTTTATTATATTCGTGCTAGAGAGAGTCGGAAATCTTATTTAACGTAAGCATTGTGGCTATATAATCGCCACAAAATTATTGATCTGATATTCGGCTCAGTTTACCTGTTTTAGAAGATAGTATTTTCTTCTCATCGATTTCTTTCTTTTTAGTCTTCTTCTTCGCTCTGGCGCCCCAATACGTATAATTGACCGCCGCATATTCCAGCAAGGCCGCGAACACGAAAACGAAGCACATCACCAGGTAGATGTCAATAGCTTTTACGTAACTGATCCGTGGCAGTGAGCTTCTAACACCTGTCGATATAGTTGTCATCGTTAGTACGGTCGTGATGCCTGAAAAAAAAGAATGATACGATGATGTATATGTACACAGCCTATATTTGCCTGTAATGAGAAAAAAATTGTTTAACAATTTATTGAAAGATAAAAATTGAAAAGCTAAAAGTTTATTATTACGAGAGAAAAAATAAGTATTACGACTTTAATGGAAACCTAATTTTAAACAATTGTACGAAACTATTTTTAAGACGTACCGAGAGCTACTCTCGCACTGGTGGCTTCATAATTGATCCAGAAACTGACCCAGCTAAGCATCACGATTAGTATACTCGGCAGGTACGTTTGAAAAACAAAATATCCGATGTTTCTCTGAAGTTTGAAGCTTAACGAGAGCCTCTGGTAGATGCCAGTCGCCAGCTTCTCCTTTCGATCGTTCGTCTCATAGCCGATAATCGTAAATTGCGGCAATTCCGCCTCCTTGACTCCATGAACGGGAGTTTCCTTCCAATACATTAATACGTCGAGCACCGTATATCCATCTGAGCATTCAGAATAGCATAATTCAGAATAATCTCAGAACAAGCAGTTCATTAAAACTCATCATTCTTTCATGTATTCATATGAACGCACAAAATTGAATATTCTTTCATTGATTCAAATAATTGTATTTTTATTAACATCCTAAATAATGTTATTCCAATTAATAACATTTGCATTATTTCGGAAATGTAAATCTACAGAAAAATTTAATTTAAAAAGAAGATAAAAAATATTCTTAAAAATTGACTTTTTATAATATTTAGGTACATATTTTTAAAATCTAAAGAAAGTAAGTAAGTAAGTCGTGAAGATAAAATCGTTTTTTATCTTTTTAGGTAAAGACATAAATATTTACAATAAAGGAATGTTGATAGATAATATTCGAATAATTGTGAATGCATATTCCAATACGTACAGCTTTCGATTTCAACTGTACAATTTTGTGAATCGAGGGGATAGTAATGCAAGTCCATCATGCAAGCCAGGGTCGTTGTGAATCTCATGCCGTATGTGATCGAGCCGTCACCAGATAATCTAACGAGTTTGTTGCGCTCAGTGACGTCGTGCAGAAAACTGCAATAAATTCAGCAGAATCAGTTAAGGCTGAGGAGATAAAGGATTAAAAAGAAAGATGCTTTTAAATAAAATCTTTTAAAAATAAAATATAATTACAAATATATTTAAAGGTTTTGAAACGTCATATAATTTGACATCATAATTACCTATTTTTATCATTGGCAAAAAACGTATCCGGGACCCAAATCTTTTCCGCGAAATCGCCACTTAGCGTCAGGATTTCACCCTCGTGCGAAAAGGCGAGTCTCTCGTCTTTCCAATATTGATTTAAGTACATCGTTATCGTATAATCCTGAAATGCAAGTAATAATTAATTTGCTAATAAAACTTGTTACTATAATTAATTAAAACATTATATGAAACATATGTACATAATATCCATTTGTTGTCTCCAGAGAGAGGAAAGAGTAGAAAAGATATAAGAATAAGAGTAAAAGGATACTCGAAAATACATTTCAACACAATGGCGCTATCATGGATGAAAAAGAAAGAAACTTTGTTAATGCATTGACAATCGAGCGGTTATCCAAACCCAGGGAATACAAATCCATTTATAAATCGCGACGGGGATATGAATATCGGTGAGAAAACGAATTTTGTATTCTGACTTGAACATATGATATGATGTTCCAATACAAACGTCTCCAATATAGCACAAGTATGTCGATTTACATATGTATACAAATGTATACATACCTGTATGTATTACGAAATTAGAATGAATAGTTGTAATATAAATAAAAGATATAGAATAATAATTTAAAATACTATTTTAAAAATTTGATGAAATATTAACTTCATGTGATTAGAAAATTAAATTTAATTAATTGCATTAATTGCTAGTTATCAAACAAGTGGATTAAAAATTATTGCCACATTGGAAATAATCTTTCTCTTTCTCTCTCTCCCTCTCTCTCTCTCTCTCTCTCTCTCTCTCTCTCTCTCTTTACTTATAAAAATATTTTTCAAAATTTTATTTGCTCACCATATTGACTTCTGAAATTGCATCAAAACTCGCAATGGTGAGATCCATCCCAACTCGTAATGGATCACCTTCAAAAAATAATCTGTATTTTAATTGTGTAGGTACGTTGAATAATTTTAAAAAATGTATAATCTTTAGAGTCTCAATTTTTTTGCAATATGTATGTGAAATAATCAAGAAAAGAAATATAGTTTAAAATCTTTGTCTAATCCGTTGATAATATCGGAAAATTACTTTCCCCCGTTGCACGTTCGATTAAAATTGCTGATTGCGATCATGCCTTGTTGAATGACGTGGAAAATTTCATTAAAAGCTTTCCATATCGCCCTGCTTCCGAGCTCTATTCTAAAATTTAATTCTATCAAATATGGCTCGAAACCTGAATATTATAGCAATAGTTTTATTTGTCAAATCCATTTTAATAGGTTTTTCTTACAATTAATGCATTTTTAAGTTGCATGTTTTTTATTAATATTTTTATAGGTACATAAAAAAGAATTTTATATATATATAGTTGTTACATATATAATATATAAATATATGTACATTTATTATAATTGTATTATTAATAATATTCATTAATATATAATTATTATAATTTATGATTTATATATATATATATATATATGTATATATAATACATATTATTATATTATACATTATAATTATAGTATTATAATTTGTTTCATTTACTATACATGCAAATGCAGATTATTTAAAATAATCTTAATTATGTGTAAAAATGTAATATTAGATAATCATATTGTTTATTTTTTATTATTTATTTATTATTTTGGATGTTTTTTTTAATATTCTGAATATATGAAATGACTTTTTTTTTAAATTAAATAATGTATATCATATACATCATTATGTGTAAACTTGTGAAAAAGCTTAATTTTTAAAAAATATACAAAGATCGATCCAGAGCTTACCGCCAAAGTTCGGCCTTAATCGAATATCGTAGCCGTCGAGTATCCTCGAAATTGTCTGCGTAACGTTCTCCAATCTATCGGACATCTCGGCACTCTCTAGAGAAGCCCTGTGAAGTACGAAATTTCGAAAACTATCGATAGAGCTTAAAGCAGTTAAAATATCTTTATTAATGAGTACCTTGTTAAATTTATCAAACGAATATTAAAATGACTGTGAAATAATTTCATATCTTATAAATGGAATTTAATATTACATATTTTCCAATTATATATACAATTAATATATTATAAATTAATATAATAAATATATATATATATATATATATATACCATAGAATTTTAAAAATATTTATCGATAAATGCGCATTTCGAAGATTTGTCTTATAGATACATCCATCAGATTTCAATTTTTTAAACAAAAGTTTCATTTTTTGAAGTATGCTCCGAACATTCACATCTTCGATATTCATTTATTTTAAACATAATCTGATGGTAAATAAAATTCAAGACATTTGTTCTCGACCCAAAAATGAATCATTTATCCAAGGTTGGTTTAATATTTTACATTTATAATTAGCAAATTATATTTTTATACAAAAACTGCAAATAAATATCATATATAGATATATGTGTGACACAATGGCGCAAGAAATATGCATAATCAAGAAATAAAATATCTAAATTAATACATATAAACGTCGAAGAAATTCAGAGATAAAATGGAAATAATAGAACGACTGAAGAAATTACTTCCATTAACCAATTCGGGCACTGTCGATCTGATCTGGTCCATAACGATTATTGTACTCGCGATCGTAGTATTTTTCACTTTGAGGAAAAATTAATAAATTTGGAGAAGATTCTACGATTTTGTAACCAGCGTTATTCGGAAAAAATTATCAGATTCGTCTTTTGCCCGGAAAATGAAGCTTTGTTGTTTCTCCTCATGTACAGTGGACTAATTGGAGTGCTAATTGCCCGAATAATCGCATATGTCGCAGGTCAAGCTTAATTCAAGTATCTAATTATTTCCCTTTGAATCTAATTTCTTTTTATATCTATTTGATTTATTTTTCTATGGATATATATTTTCTTTACTACATTTATACATGTGTGTAATCTTAATTGAGAGAATCATGGTATTTTAATATAATTTACTATTAAGATATTGAAATTGCATTTTAAATTTTACAATCACTCTGTAAATTATTGTATTGATTTTAAAAACAATTTAAAGTTCATTGAACAAACGTTTGATTGTTGAAAATTTACTTTTTTAACCAGTGAAATATCTATAATGGTTTCAACTGTGCCATGCTGATTAAATCACGCTCTTTTTAATAATACGACATAGAATGTTTATTGGAATTTTATTAAAATACATTACAATGCTTTAGTTACATGAAGATTCGCGGAAGAGAAAAAGATTATATCTTTTTAATAATGTATATTTAAAAAATTAGGTTTATATGTATACATATTATTAATATGGCAATTTTATGTTTGGCATCGTATTTTTTAATTTAAAGGCATAAATTTATGTCATATTTATAAAAAAGTTTGCCCTATCATATCTATCGAAATCAAAACCGTGTCCCTTACATGTCACGTGTGCGTTACAAGTGAAACACAATGAGAATGCATCAACTCTTGTTATTCCCCGCGATTTTCCATAGGGCGAAGATGCAAATGATGGTGCTCACCAGATGACACGATGACGCAGCTGCACGAGGAAGAGGACGATCAGCGGCAGCCCGCGCGGCAGCATCCTGCCAATCGTCTTCGTTATCCGGTTGGGATCGTGTCAGTGAACGACGAGCGCGATGGAGAACGTCATCTCGCGGTATTCTCGCATTCCCTCGGCATCCCCGTAACCGGCTCGCTGCCGCCACCACCACCGTTCTGCAATCATAGTTGAAAGGAAGAACACCCGTCAACCTTTCCTGCCTGCTCGTCACTATCCTTATGTAACCCTGCACTTTGCGTATCTGTGTTCTACACAACGGAAATCCTATGGTAATAGTCTCCGCGTCTATAATAAGTTCTTTATCTTCTTGGGAGGGAAAGATAATCCAGCAAGTAATAAAGAAGAAAACCAGAAAGGCTTATCCTACAGGAAGACTTATCCTAATAGCACAGATCTCCAAGGGACGTTCCAAAGAACATTCAGAGGATATTTCTATGTCCTAAGAACGTTCGTCAGAACATCTCTCGAATAAAGTGTTCTATTAAGAACGCGTATTTGATACTTAGAGAAAACTTAATTAAATTCTACTTCAATTAAAAATATATATATGTATATATGGGTTGAATTTGAGAGAAATCTCTATTTTTTTTTATCAACAAGACAAAAACAGACAATTGGTTCTAAACATTACACTGCACTGACTTGCATTTTGTCATAACGAGTACATGATGTATTATCGTTCTCTGCAGAAAAAGTAATAAAAATTATTGCGCCTTTAACTCTAGTTTTTATTGCCAATTATTTACGTTAATATTATAATGCTATTGCTAATTTTATCATGTAATATCGAAAGAGTTATGAAGCGCTTCTATTTGTGTCCTTAGGCCACCTCAGGCAATTAAAATCACGTTTTTTTTTCTGAAATTTTCGACTACTAGTAAATTAAGTGATTAAAAATTAAATGTAATTCCGTTATGATACTCGATTGATCCGATTAAAGAAAAAAGCATAACGAAATATGGACTAATACGATAAAGCATTATACATATAATACATTAAAATAATGTATGTGTGTTTCAACATCGTGCTTTATTCACTTCCTATTCAAAGATTGCGCACGTACGAAGCCACTTTCGCCTCCATGACATGACATTCGCGTTAAACAATAAAAAGAGCGCGTAAAATATATCCGACAATACGTATTTTTGATAAAGCTGTTTTCCGAGACAATAAAGATGAAGAATAACTTGTTAGTCACGAAACCTTATACTATCCGTAAATAATGAAGGAACGACTTTTTTCCATCCTGAGAATGGAAATTGACTTTATTAAGTCTCGAGTTTTAAATTGATGACAGGAAATATTTCGTAAATGTGATACCTTTAATAATATAGATGCAAGTATTTAAAAATATTTTCAATATCACGTAAAATATTATTTTCTTCGTAGTTATTTTATTAATTAATAATTCATTAATTTTATTTTATTAGAATTATACTATATATAAAAATATATACTATATATTATATATTAAACAAGCAATAGAATTGTACAAATATTGGGTCATCTAAAAAGTATCCGCGGTTTTTAGATGACCCAATAGTATTAAATCGCGAATCAATAGGAATGAAATACATAATACATGGTGAGATTTAATTGTCAACAGATTAGCAGGAAATTCAAATTGTTGAACAAAAAGCAAATTGGTATGAACGTTCGCATTAAAATCAGATTTTGCTGAGAAAGCTTGGTGATACAACATGACAGCAAATTGGCGGCAGAAACCGAGCAAAATCTATCGAACGCAGATTCTGCTCTATTTCTGCTGCCGATCAAACTATATAACAAATATAATCGAAGTCTACTTGATTTTAGTCCTCATGTCTTGTTGACAAACTTTGCTATATATTTGTCTGCATTCTAGCAAGAGTAAGTATTGAATATCCTGTGTCGGATACTATATCAAATCCGTAGACTTTCTGTCAATAAAATGTGTAGTAAACACTTAACAGAATCTATTCTCAAAAGACTGTCTAGATTTTCACTTAATCGATATCAATTCGTTAATTTAATTAAAAATTTATGTAGCAATTTTTATGTATATGTATAAGTTTTTTTTCCTCTGTTTTTCCAGAGAAACAATGACTTGCTGCAAGTCATTTGCCAAGTGAAATTGGAATTGTAAATAATTTCCTGCATACCAAATAAGTTCATTCACAAGTTCATAGTTGAATAAATATATTTCTGTAGATGCATATTAATTCTCTATAATTTGATAAGTACACTTCTTTTTTGCTACTTAGGTTTACACAGGTAATTACCTGCTGCATCCGAGGAGAATCACGACACGCGCGATGATTTCATCATCGATTCAACAGAGAAATATCAGAATTATTAAACCTATTATCGTTGACCGGAATTATCGTTCGCACGTACTTCGGTCCATCGTCGTAGCTTAAAATCGATCGGAGCGCAAGATCAATCGTGAGATCTCCCGAGACTCAATCGATCGTTATAATCGTTTACAGAATCCACTATTCACAGGATTTAATCGGCTTATCACTTCTCGCTTTATACGATCGAATTCGCGGATCACTCAAACTCACTGTCATGAGCGTGTCATCGATCGTCGCGCAGCATCACTTCACGTCGATGTCCATGTTCTCATTCTCGTCTACGTCGTCGAATAGAAATGTAAGCGCGATGTATTTCTGTGCACCACGAGCTTCGCGGATGCTGCTGCCTTTCATCCTCGGTAGCTAACGCGGATCCACTGTCGATTACTCTCTTCAAACCCTCTCTCTCTCTATCTTTCTCTATCTCTCTCTTTCTCGCCCCTCTTTCACTTCCTCAACGTGAATGCGTTCTCCCTCTCTTTCTACCTCTCTCTCTCTCTCTCTCTCTCTCTCTTTCTCTTTCTCTCTCTCTTATTCACTCCGGAAATCATCCCCTTCACTTCTGTCAACGCGTGGTTTCTTCTCTATCTCTCTATCACAATTCAACCCCCTTTTCTCTCGCTCTCGCAAATTCTCCCTCTCCTACGCTCTCATTTTCATGGGTCCTTCATCCCTCTTGCTCGCATTTCCTTTTTCACGTGCGATTGCCCCGTTCTATCCCCGTTTATTCTTCCCTTCTCTCTCTCTCTCTCTCTCTCTCTCTCTCTCTCTCTCTCCTCTTTCTATCTCTTCTCTCGCTCTCGCGAATCGCCTTGATACTACTCTCTTCCGCTCCTCGAAATCTCTCTTCGTCTTTCGTCACCGTTCCACAGACTTCCCCCGCGACTTGCAGTATGACTTGCGCAGGACGCATGCATTGTATACGTACTCTATCTTCGTGTGTCGACCTAGTGACACACAGTTGGTGATCGGATTTCCAAAGCGAACCGATCGAAAATCTCCACTGTCACCATCATCATCGTCATCGTTCCCACTATCTCCGCTTTTTTATGCGAGAAGAAATCATTACCTTCTTAGAGTAATAACGAAAACGCCGAAGGCGATCGATGCGATATCGAAGGCAAGAATCGATCGGCTTTTCCTGATATATTGCTGCATGAAGATTTCGCGTAAAAATAATAAAACCAGACGGAAAAGGCAATACTCCTTGGAGTACAAATTATATATTTTTGTCAATCCATTTCAACTAATCCAATTTTTTATATATTACCTTGATAAAAATAATTTAATGTTTAAAAAAAGAGAGATTTAATGTTTAAAAGGATGCACAAATTTGTGAGCAGTCTCTCCGAGATGTGCTCCACGCCTTAATGAGTTCAAGGTTTTTAAATGCGACCACCTTAAAAATAAGAATAAAAGATATCAGCGCGGAGATAAGATCAAATTAATGGTCTCTCGACTAAGCATTAATGAAGATTCTCTTCCGCGTCATATCACTCACGCTATCGCGACAAAAATATCAGATAAGTAAACTCGTGATTTGGAACACTTTGCAGGAATATACAGAATAATTTGCGAGCATCGTTAAAAAAAAATTCTTTAATAAAACTTCAAACAAAAATTCTTATCAAAGAAATTTATTATATATTTATGTCGTAACATTGCAATTCTCGGTAAACGCCTTTATTTAATTTTCTTGGAATTAGATGAAGAACTAAAGCAGCTAATACAATAGGTGACTTTTACAAATTTTTTATCGCTGTAAACGAATCCGTGTAAATGAAATTGCTCTATCATGTCACGCTTTTGAGATACTTTAGCTCAAAGGTATAAAAGTGCCAATTTTCGGCAAATTATATTTGCGGATTCATTTTTAGTTATAAAAAAGCTTGTAAGAATCATTTTGTCCCGTAATTTAATATGTGTTGGACAGTGTAATTTTATGCGCTAATTGCAAAACCTAGTAAATGGCCACTTGGTATCGCAATAGCAGTTAGATTTACAATCGATGAACAGTCTCCGTCGGCAGGACGGGTTCACTTACCTTCCAGAGACGATAAGAATTTTCCTGTCGGCAACGCCGTCGCTGATCGGAAATCATTTCAACACCCGATGTTCTGAAATACGCGTTTCTATCATTTTTGTGATGTCCACGAGGAAATGCAAGTAAGAAATCACAGCGCAGTATCTTCGCAGCAGTCGTTTTCAAATCGAGGGAGACCATTTTTCGATTTCTATAAAACTTTCCTATTTATAAGAAAACAATTCTATTTATTACTTTAGTCAATCGTCAAAAAAGATGAACAAATTATTTTTAAGAATTAAGTTGCAATAAATATTAATTTATATTAATTATATTTTCAAGAGTGAATTACGAATAATAATTAGAATTGTAAATTAAAAATTAATAATTAAAAATTAAATATTAAATTTTTTTAACAATTAAAAATTAAATAGTAAAAATCGTGTTTGCATCAAAGCGACGCTGCTTCATATAATAATGTTAGAACGTCAGAAGTCATGTAGTGAAAAGTGTAGAACGAGAATTTCCAGATTCTGTTTTACAGCAAAATAAATCGATGAATTACAAGTATACTCATTTCACAGATAGAAATTTGTCGTGACACTATAACAACACATAGTGTCACGACAAATTTCTATCTGTGAAATGAGTATACTTGTAATTCATCGATTTATTTTGCTGTAAAACAGAATCTGGAAATTCTCGTTCTACACTTTTCACTACATGACTTCTGACGTTCTAACATTATTATACGAAGCAGCGTCGCATTGATGCAAACACGATTTTTACAATTATAACACACGACGTCGGTTGAATTTTATTCCAACTTGATGTAACTCTGCGTCTTAAGAATATTATTAATTTTACTGAAGATGGCCAGATTGTGGCCGAAACGTTTAATGTTTTTATTGTAATTCGTAATGCAAGAATAATTAAATATCACTAAGTACATCTTGTGCTGTGGTTCTTTATGTTCTTTCTTTTCATATTTTTGAAATTATAATTACATTCGTTTTTTACATTTTATTAAATATTACATTTTCTTAACATAATAATCTGTTTTTAGGATCTATTTGAATTAGCTTGTTGGCAAAACTTTTGTCCATTTAATCCTTTTATCAATGCATAAGTTTTCATCTTTTCACCATTTTGTTTCTATAAGGTTCCCGCAAAAAATGTAAAAATGAAAGTGAGATAAAGCCTGTATAAAACTTCTTTCCTATTCGAGGTTTTTCATAAAGTTCGCACAAAATATAAAAATTTTTGTTTAAAATTCGGCATGAGTACCCATACAATAATAGAAGGGTTAAATTTTGCATTGTAAACGAAATCGATTTGTTTAAACGAATTAATTGAAACACGACGCGATCAGAAGCATACATCTAGAAATCTGCTGATTAACGCGAATTTAAAGTTAGTAACCGCTAGAAGTTTAGTGTAATTTGACGAGAGAAATCACGTACAAAATCTCGTTGATTGCAAATATAATCTAAACCGTTCCGAAGTCAAATACGATTTAGCTCTCTCTTTATATTACAAATGTTTTAAGAACTTAGTAATAATTAGAGAAAAATTTTATGCATTTACAAAATAGCGCTTTTCTAATTCGAAATATTAGAATTTGAAAGACAGAATTTGAAAGATAGAACATCCATTTAGATAAGGAATTAAATTTCTGCTTGACTGCCTGAAATCCAATGTGTAAAATTCTTCACCTACCAATCGATTAAAATTCAAAAGTTTTCAGCTTTTAGTATTAAGATCCTCAGCTTTATCTTTCTTAATATTACGATTAAGCTGATAAATCGTACAAAACTTTTCCGTTTATTATGAGTTTTGAAATTATCTTTCATATTTTCGTGAAATTATCTTTTATATTATCATATACAAACCATACGAGAGTAGAAGAATTCATTAGTAGACTTAATTAGAAGATCTTAATTAGAAACATAAATTATTTAGACCGCAAGTTTGTCGCGCGATAACCACACGGACACGCGTGGCGCGTTAAAGGATTAATTGCAAATAATGTACTGCGGCGTGATTTCGGGACTTGCGCGTCGCGACGCTTGTAAGTCCGCGTCTTAGGGGGGTTCGCGGTAGGAACATCCACGCGGGCGCCGCAATGGTCTGTCGCACCTCGTGGCGAGTGCTAAACTCATCGGACATCGATTCAACGACCGTACTTTTGAAATTTTAGCGAAGCGGATCACACCGAGAGAATGACATCGAGCAAGCTGCTGCTGTGAGTAAAATAATTGTTAATTGGTCGCCACGCCGTAACGAAAAATTATCGCGGAGTAACAAAACATTTCGATCACCACACATTTTACGTTTATTTGAATATCTTATATATAATAATATGGTATTTATTTTAACAATGTATTAGGTGTTGGAATTAATTCGTAGCGTTTTACAAGTGATGGGAAGTACTTTCATTAATGTATTTTTTAATGCTCATGTGAAATAAATAACATTCTTTCATTAAAAACGCTACGAATTAATTCCAACACCTAATATTATAATAAAACACTTTGTTTTTTTACTGTATGTTTTATTATGTTCAATACCATATTAAATTTATTATAATATTAAAATAAATGAACGTTGTTTAACTTCAACGTGTTAAGTTTAATTAAAATTGTAAACAAGTCCGCGAAATTAAAAAAAATTTTTATTGTTTTTATTAAAATGTAACTCTATCAAGTAAAACAATTTCTTTAAAACATCTTCATAATAATTACTTTTTTATCATATCTTCTTTTTTGGCATAGTTGATCTCCCTTGGAAATATTTATATGTTGAAGTGCATTGTACGTTATATTATATATTTTAATATAAATAATATAAATTGATTACTTGTAAGGAAATTCGTGAAGGAAACCAATACAATCTAATACGATGCTAATAATTAATTAATTCTTTTTCGATTATAAAATAGATTTTCATAGTATGAAAATCTACCTGTATGTAGTGACAAAGAAGTAAGATATTTAGACCCATATTCAGAACGCGCTAACGTACTATATTTTACGTCACGCATATTATAGAATTTCAGAGATAAAAGTGCGTTTTTAACTTTTAAAAGCGCGTTCTGAATACGGGTCTATATGTCTAAGAATTTTATTTCTCAATCTTATTTATTAATTTAGTTATTGCGACATTATTAAGATCATGTCCCTTCTCTTAATTTATATGTTACCTATTTTTTTATAAATAAGCATTCAAAATTTACTCCAAATATTTTTATCTATCAATTGTACTATCGTCTATCAATTGTATTATCATGCAATTCTTTAGCACAATTGATAGATAGACTAGCTATCAACTATAATGCAATTTGTAATTAAATAAAGAAATATTAAATATCATATAATTGAATATGAATAAATAAAGCATTTATTTTGCATTCATAGATAATTATAATTACATCAAATGCAAATAAATGAGACGTTTAATTTATACTCAGAGGTAACTGTAATTACATTGTTAAAAAATATTTACAATGCTTGATTTTATCGTTAAATTGCAATTGTCTGAATTTTGATAAACTTTTTTATTACATTTGTTTCATTTTAGAAATTCAAATAACTTACAATAATGTTGTGCATTTTCCATCCTGTGTAGAAAGCTGTAATATCATTCATTGTTATTCAGGTCGGCATTATTTAATACAACTTTTGTTTTATGTGCGTTCGTGAGCGCTTTGCATACCATCTTGAAATAATGAAAATTTCAATCGCATATCAAAGCCGCTTTTGACGCATAAAACCCAAAGGTGCACCTCAAGCAATTATTCGTATACCTATGCGTAGATAGCGCATCTTGTAAAAGCCTCTGAATATTTTAAGAATAGATTTCAAAGCATTTATCAAAACAGACATAATTACTCTTTGAATTTAATCGAGCACATCTAACGAGTTATTATTCATGCATATATAAATGTCAAAAGCATTTAGGGATCGTCTTGTTTCGCATAATTTAATTGCCTTCGCGTCAACTTCGTCAAATAATAACGACCTTAAAAATGATTTTGCAATAAATGGTAAGATTTTTGTCCTTAGCAAATAATTAGAGGTGTGACAAAATGAAAGTTTATTTTCAAATAGAAATAACGACGTTCAATTTATAATAATCAATCTATAATGAATAGATATATGAATAGATATATGTCTTTCAAATTTGTTTCAAATTTGTCTCTTTTTGTACAGTGACGCTTTATACATTTACACTATGCATTTTTACCAAAAAAAAATGGAAGGCATTTATTAAAATGTTTCGGAAATTTGACATTATTAACATCAAATAATATCAGTTGACTATGTTCTGAATTCTATGAATGCGCTGCGTGTTCTACAAAGAGAGATTTGACTTGAAAACAAAATTGATCGATTGTCGTTGATTGTCACAATAATCATTTATACTTAGTTTTTAAATTAATAGAACACAAATAATGAGCTGCAAATGAAGTGTGAAATGCATTTCAGGTGAGCTGATTCCCCCAAATTTCTGTTGAGCAAATTCATCCGTGCCAATGATTCAATTCGCGTTGCGCATAAAGCGATAACAATAAAAAAATGCAATTAAAATTCTTTGCAAGTAATAAAGTTTATATATCAACATAACGTTAAAGAAAAAAAAAAATCTTGCCATTTGGGCCATATATTTTATAACATTATAAAACAAAAACATTATAAATCAATGTCAAAGATTTATTTTTTATAAATTATAACAAATGTTTGTAATCTTACTTTGAAATACAAAAATTTATTAATTAAATGAATTAAATGTATCAAATGTATTAAAATGAAAATGTATTAATTAATTGTATTAATTAAATTTTAAAAATTGTATAATTCGCGATTGCTTACAGAAATAGTCTTACAAATTTTTTTATTTTATATTAATTATTTACAAATTATAAGTTGAATTGGTAGCTTACTCTCATCTCTGGGTTGATTACTTAAAATTAATGATTATTTTTTTACTTATTAATTACTTTATTATATCAATATTTCTTTCTATGTATAAAAATGATTTTTCACAAAAAAATACCGATAATATGTCCTTCATAGTCGATGAACGAAACACATTTTGCCCTATCACTCGAAACTTTATACGGCTCACTTAAAGATTGCTTCAAACGGCCCGAAAATCGGATGCAAAATGCGCATACGATCTCACAAGATTGTGATGTAACGGGGCGCAACGTTCTTCCGAAACAGTGAAGGGAACCCTCATGAACCACGGATGAATGCTGCTGAATCGGCGAGTGACAAGAGGCACTCTCCTCCACTTTTCCTTCCCATCATGATACCGGCCTCGCTTTATGCCTTAAACCGAACTCCAAACGTGCTCGTCGTTTACTCCTCTCTTTTGCAACTTTATTACATTACTTATCGTGTTTCGAATTTCACAGCAAAAATTAAAATTAATGCGGCGAGTTAATATAACGTTAGACGTCAATATAATTTTGAAAAGTCATTGGACGTTAAATATATCATCACCTGTCGTTCTGCATAGGGAGCTAAAATTCGGAAATTAAAAGTTAATGTGTCAAGCTCTCATATATAATGAATCTTGTTGAAAAATATTCGAACGTATATTCAGGATATTATTAATTTCTGATTACATGCATTAATCGATTATTATGCTTTTTCATGAAACTGACACGCGAATTTTAAAAATATTTTATATAATTTGCGGAAGATTTCGAAAGATATCGCGAGAGCAACAAGATCTCATTACACTTATGATTAGTGGACGAATATCCTCTCGCGTGTGTCGCGAGCCGCGGTTTATCGATAGCGGATATAGTCCGGTCCTTGCGCCGAAACAAAGTTCTGGCACGCAGACGATGCTATTTCGCGGTGGCTATGTCGGAAGGGCGACAGGGAATGTGGGCATAAGAGCTGAGAGAGAACGCAGCATGTCCTAGATAACTCCTTGTAACATCTTTGTAGCGTTAACGTCATTATTATGTCACGTTATACCGCTCGAGAAGAAAAGCCTCGAATACCGCGCGCATATTTTCGAAACGCCTTATTGACTTTTACTCGTGTTTGTACAAAATGTTTTTAAATTTCATTAAAAATATTAACATTTAATTATATATAAAAATAGGTATATATAAATATATATTTAATGTTATTTCAGCATACAAGATATTTTTCTTTTTTATAAAAATATAATTTAAAAGCAAAAAATACATGTATATTATATATATTAATAGAAATAAATATGAATATAAATTCCACGTCATCAGCTAGTAAAAAAATTAAAAAATTAGAAATATTAAATTAGATATCCCTAATAACACACTTTATCCGGGATATACCCTGAGGATGTCCTTAGAATGAAAGGACATACGGACATCCTTTGGACGTCCTCAGAATGTTCCATGGAGGTCTGTGCTGTTAGGGATTGCATGCGTTGTTAATTATGCAAAAGGATTGCTCTCGTTGCGACGAAAGCGTTATAAAAATTTGAAACTCAGGATCTGTTGGTGGTATTAACTATAGGTCCTCTTTAGGCTTAAAATGTGAGTGATCGATACGGATTGAAATGCATCTCTCTAGGACAGAATATCAACTTTAAAATCAAATGGAACATCTACGGTGAACAATTCCATTCACACATCTATGAAGTGCACTCATGTTCGTTAAATACTTAATGAATTTCAATTATCGACATTTAGGACCCATTCATAATGTTAAATATAATTTGACAGACATCGACATCTAATAAAATATATTACGTCCTATTTATAATTTTTATCATGTCTTCTTAATCTATTTGTGCATCTATTTAAGTTATCGTATTTCCATTTGTTGATTTTTAGTTACCACAAAAAAGAGTATATTGTTATAAATCTTCTTATTATTTCATTTAAATTATTTCTAATTTATTCGCGATTTCAATACAATTAATAATTAAGTTAAAAGATTCAATTATTAAAGCAGTAATAAAATGTATTTTAATTTTTAATTTAATGATTTTGATTAAGATTAGATTATACATAATTTACATTGAGTTAATTAATAATTTGTGTGATGTATCGAATGATTGTCATACAGTCGAGAAAATTTTTTACTACTGTCGCATTAAATAGCTCAGAGAATTCGCTTCATTTGTTAACTAATTTAATTATCAAACTGCCAGTGTAATTTTATTATTAATTAGCAAGATATTCGAGGAACACAATTGTTCCGCAATGAGCCATTTACTTTTAGACCGAAGAATAGACTTTCTAGAATAAACTTTCGTTAGAAAATACGAATTTCAAATTTTGTAGGAAACTTGTCGCTACATAATTATCTCTATACAAACAGAATATTGCACGGAATCCATCGTCAGTGGAATAATGAACATACTTCTGTGTTATATACATAGTTTCGTCATTCTCGTGCCACTCACTATGGATAAGTATCATTATTATGCATTCGAAACCAACACGACATCGGACATCGCAATACCGTCGTCATCAGAATCGTTGGAGTCGACGTTGACGATCGGTAACAGGATGCCGCGAGCTACGCTGAACGATGTTGTCTCAAAAAATATCACAATGGTTCTTGAAAATCTATTAATGAATTATGAAAACAGTCAGTTGCCCACGCATGGTAAAGGTAAGAAAAATAAGGATTAGTGCACTGAAATAAAAATTGTTGGTATTTGTAACTATAATTACATATTATTATAATTATGATTATAACTGCTAATATTATTAAAAATAACTATATGTACAGTTTTAGAAACAAATATATATAGTTGACAAAAATTACTAGAAAATTGTAGTAATCTGAATCATTTTTGTGATAATTTTATTATTTTTATAACTATAATTATGGTCATTTTAGATTGCTAATTATATATATCTGTTAGAATTATATCCGTATAATTATTATTACTAATATTATAGCAATAATAATCATAATAATCATATAATAATATATAATTACAAATACCCAACAATTTTTCTCTTAGTATAAAAACAAATGTTTTTATTAACATAATTACGATTTAATGAATTTCTGAAAGTCATAAAAAATATAAATAGATTAGATGATATCGTATCCGTGGAAAGTTTTTCTTTCTAAAAACTATATTACATCATGCAAGAGAATAAGCAAAATTTCTTCTTTACAAATTTACATGCGTATTTTTATAGTTTTTTTATATTGTAGATATGCACGTTTCAAAAATCCATTGTATTTAATTATATTTTCAATTTATTCTTTTGTCAATGCATAAATTTTCATCTTTTTACTACCGTGTTTCACAATGTTCCCACTAGAAATGAAAAGTAAAAACAAGATGAGGTCTGTGCAAAACTGTTTTTTTGTTGTTTAAAGTGTACTCATAAAAAAACATGCTATATTCAAATATTAATTACTTATTTCAAGTTTAAAATATTAAATTACTTATTTTAAACGTTCATATATTCACAAATATATCTAACAATAAGTTTATCACAAGCATCAAATTCACGAAACAGAAAGGAAAAGATATATAAAGACCATTATTTTGTCAAATGTTCGTAATATTTCAAAGAAAAGAAATGCGTATAAAACGAATGACACAATCGTATGTATTAAAAGTAATATTTAATGATTGATTTGAAAAAGATTAATTTTTATAAATGACATTAGAACATCAGATACAACGTAAATTACATACAAACGTAATAAGCGTATGTATGCATTTAATATCGATATTAATTTTATAAATACAAGCTATATTACGCTGCGGTTAGATACTCTACAATACTGAAACTACTTCATGCATTATGTCCTACACCTGCACTAATCGCAACATCAACGGAAAATAATATTGAATATAATTGAATTCCGAAGAACTGAGAAACATTGTACACGGTAGTCTAACCGCTTAATTATCGATAACTAAATAGAGCCCCAGGTTATAGTGCCAAATTAATTGCAACGGTTTGTTGCATATTAAAATTAAATTTTTAATTTTAAAATTAAATTTAAAAATGATAAGTACATATATATTCTAATTATCCGAACAAATCCGATCATCGACTTATAATTGCCGCCATTTTGGTATCCTTTGTAATTTGTTAAAACTGAATATTGTAAACTTTTTCTGGCATAATAACAATTGATAAAACTTATTTAAGCAATTTTTCGCATTTTTTCAGGCGTGCCTACAGTGGTCAAAACCAATATTCTAATTAGAAGTATGGGTCCAGTATCTGAGCTTGATATGGTAAGATTCGAAATTTCTCAATAAAGGAAAATGCATCAGCAAATGTATTTTTTCTTTTTTCCTTCCTTTTTGTTTCTTCTCTTTTTTTTATCTATGTGTGCGTGCGCGCGCGCGCGCGCGCGCGCGTGTGTGTGTGTATGCGATGTCATAAAGTATTTTAAATATCTACATCAATTTCTAATCATTGTATTACAAATCGGCCATTTATTGCAAAAATAATAATCGCTCTAATTGATCTTATTATTTTAACAATTTTATGTTATCGAAAAATTGATATAAAAAGTGCTCGAAAGAAATTTAAGCCTAATGTAATATCAGAAATATATGATATATTTATATTTAGAATCAAACTTGAACTATATGTAGCAATAACTTTTAATCGATCGTTTACTAGTGAGAATGCTATTGCTTAATTGTTAATAATAGACAGCTTTAATTAATTTTTGCCTTATTTACTTTTAAATCTGTTTAAAATCTGACTTGATGCAGTCTTAAAAATTCTTCCATCAGGATTATTCGATGGACTGCTATTTTCGGCAATCGTGGCGTGACTCACGTCTAAGCTTCCTGGGCCCGATCAAGTCCCTCAGCCTCAGCATCAAAATGCTCGAAAGGATTTGGCGTCCCGATACATATTTCTACAATGGCAAGCATAGTTACGTGCACACGATCACTGTGCCGAACAAATTGCTAAGGATCTCCCAGGACGGCGATATATTGTACTCCATGAGGTTTGTTCGCGCGTGAATTTACGCACTGTGTGGCAAATCGAATCCGATTTCGAATCCGATATCTATACGAGATATGTATTCTCGGACTTCTTTTACAAACGTCAGTGTTGTATAGACATTCATGAAAGAAACATATGAGCGATCGACGGCTGAAGAAGTTTAATTCTGTGCTTTGAAATATATATTCTATCACGAAATATCATGTGGAAATATTAGCACTGCTGCTCTTACAAAGTATATAATTATTATACAATAGATGTAAATTTTTGAGAACCAATCTGTATACGACATAAAAGGAAAATAATGTAATATAAAATGGAATTAAATATAAAATGATAGAATTTTAGACGTACAATATTAATATCACAGTTTTATTTATAAAATAATTGAAAGATAATGTAAAACTAAGTAGAAAAATTAGATATAAATATTTGATATCATAATCTATTTTCATTCATGATTCTTTTTTAATGCAGGCTCACTATTAAGGCTAAATGTCCCATGGAACTAAGGAATTTCCCTATGGATCGACAGTTTTGCCCATTAATAATGGGAAGCTGTATGTATCAATTTTTTAAATATAATTACATAGTAATATTATATCTTAGAAAGCTAAGTATCACAATATAAAAAAATTAATTTTTGAAATAAGAAAAATACGTGAAGAAAATGTTTTAATTGTAAAATTAAATTAAAGAGTTGATATATTAAAACAAAATTATATTATGTAATTTTTTTTACTTCGCAAAACAAGAAATTACATGAATTTTTATAACTTTGATTTTCACAATTTTTTGTTTTATGTTGCCCTTATTGACTTGAGTATAGTCGTACCATACTTTTGTTTTTACGATGTGATATAAAATCTGTATTCCATCTTCTTTTCGATCATTATTAATTTAATGAGTCGCAGCTCTTTATCGCTCTTTTATTGCAAGATTATTTGGAAATGCAGTATTTGGATTATTTCTAGAGATTATTTAGAAATACAATGTTTCTTATTGCACATAAATTGAGACTCAAGCCAACAGAGACGTAATTCATAAGAAAACCAGAACAAATAATATTTCATTTATACGCCCTCGCACGCCACGTTATGCTGTTCCTCACATGCATAATGTCCACCAATATTATTCTTCGGCGAGTGTTCGCAATCGTCCATGTCGAAGTTATGATCGCAATAAATTCGATATTCCTTTACGTTTCGGCTTTACGGTACACAGCAACTCCGTTTTCTATCATAACAGCTGGCATCATGGCCTATGATGCAGCGAAATATTAAAATTTATTGTCATAAGCATGCACTAGTGACGAGAAGTCTCCTCGAATCAAAATGTATGATTTAAGATTAGCCATTTGCAGAATGCGGCATATATCTACATAGAAAAAAATGTTTGGTTGAATTAATTAGAATTCTGGTGGAAAATAAACAATTCAGAATTCTAATTAAATTTACAAGAATCACAGAATCCTGATTAAATTTATTCAAATTCTAGTTGAAATAACCAACATTTAATAAAAAATTTAATAGATTTAACAAAAATTCTGGATCGTTTATTTTCCAGAATTTCAGTTAATTCAACTAAGCTATTTTTTTGTAGTTGTCGACAAATTCCTAAATATTTAGAATTGATATTAATCGAGAGATAAATATAAGAAAAAGAAAAATACATCTTGAATAATTAATTAATTATTAAATTATCTATTGAATGTTCATAGAATTTAGAATAGAATATCCTTCGGATATAAATAATTCAATTAAAGAGGAAATAAATAATTATTATAGGATGTCATTGAAGTAGATACATCTTCAATATTTCTCTGAAATGCTTCTAGTATTTTGTTAAATAATTATTTTATTTCTTTTTATTTTATTTCATGTTATATGATATTGTTACGTCTCTCTTGTTAGATGCGTATACATCGGGACAGCTGGTCTACGAATGGCAGGAAGGTTTGTCGGTGAATTTCATTCCCGGAATGGCACTGTCACAATTCGATTTAATGGGTTCGCCGTACAGGAATCTCACATTTTTTCGTCGCGAGGGCGAGTTCTCGGTACTGCAAGTATCTTTTAACTTGCAACGCCACACCGGATACTTTCTCATACAAGTAAGCGTTCATAAATCGTAGTGCTTATTGCAAATAATAAATAAATGTCTTTTTTGTGCAAAATAACAAAGAGACTTTCTTACATCAACAGGTTTATGTGCCGTGCGTTTTAATAGTCGTGCTGAGTTGGGTATCCTTTTGGATCCATCGTGAAGCGACGAGCGATCGAGTGGGTTTAGGTACTTACAATCACATTTTTATTGTTTTTATACTTGTAATTTATTTTTTAAATATAAACAATTGTTATCATAAAGAACATTCTATACTTGTTTAGTGCCTTTATCATTTTCTCTTCTCTTTACAAGCGTTGAAAATCTCATAAGTTCTAGGCACTATGTGTACTTAAACAGAAAATCCAGTCCTATGTGGATAATACTGTATTATAAATTTTCCAGGTATCACCACCGTCTTGACGTTATCGACGATAAGCCTCGATTCCAGAACGGATTTGCCGAAAGTCAGATACGCTACCGCTCTGGATTGGTTTCTACTGATGAGTTTCGGTTACTGCATCGCCACTCTCTTGGAGTTCGCCGGCGTTCATTACTTCACGAAGGTGATAATTTTACGTAATCACGATACTTTAGGTCTGTTTTCTGTGGCTGAACTAGTGTACGAGTAAAACAACGTATGAAGCCGGTGATACAGTGAATGCAAAAATACAGTGAATGCAAAAATGTATTTGTGCAAAAAAATTTTTTATAAAAAAAGTCTTATTTGTAGAAAATAAACATTAATTAGCAATTTTATATAATGAATACATTCTGTTTTAACATAAACGAACGAACTTTGCATGTATTCCTGATTTTAGAAGCTAAATTTCTCGACTATACGAATATTTTTTGAGCATCCAAACAATTTTTATCAAAACGTAAAAAGGCTAAGGAGTTAAGCTTGTTGCTTGTGTTATACAATATTTATATGTTTATTGGAATAACACTTATAAATACATATGAACGTTTCGACCTTTTTACATCAGGACATCATCAGTGTAATAAAATTATCGCTACCGGTTTTTATATTTCCGAATACAATTTTTAATCATTTTCGCTTATTTTTTAGATGATATATTTTCTATAATTAATACACTTTTTTGATATATATAATTTAAGAAATAGACATACAGTCTACATTATTCTTTATAAATAAATTGTTAATTATTCAGCAAGAAATAATCGTCAAATTAGACGTCGAATCGATATCAAATTGGTGTCGAAGTCATCGTATCGATATCGATTTGACATCAATTTGATGATTCATTTCTCGCTGGATAATATTTACTTTTTAAAAATAAAGTTTTTTAAAAAAATTATTCTTTTATGTACGAACACTTTTTACACTCACTTTAATATTATTTGTTGTTGCTACGCGAGATCGAAGGCTCGCGGCTAGTAAGGACCTTCATATGTTTACACAATGTGTTTAAGACAATGTTATAGTTCAATATGTTTAAAACAAATTACTTTGTGGAAAATTATTCAAATAATATATATTTAAAATTATTTTTACAACTTTAATTAAAAATATGCACAGATATAATTTGAGTCAATAGTATCAATCTAATTTTGAACAATTTTCAGGTTGGTAGCGGTGAGATTCCATTGGACGATGATGAATGGGAAGAATGGAAAGGGATCACTAACGAGGAATTCGAGGATACATTTCATTCGATGATTTCTTGCAGCCCTCAGGCAGTTCATCCAGAAATTATCGATACGAGTACTAGAAAGCGTGGTTCTCTCATATCCGCACTATACAATGTTAGTTCGAGATTTCAATAAAGATTACTGCAATTTATAAGGCCACTCAAACAATATCAAAAACATAATATTAATATCAATATCTTGATATTGAAGAGAATCTAAAAGATTTTTTTAAATATAGAACGTTCTTCAGATATTTCTAGACTGTTACATTGTGTGTATTCTAGCCTTCCGATAAAAACAGATAAATTTACAGAAGATTAATTTATAAATTATTAAAGTGCAAGGATTAAGATGTATCAGATGTATAATCTAACTACAAAAAAATGGCTGGAATTGAGAGGATGGCGGAATGAAAGCCTAATCACAAAATCTTAATATTAATAAAAATTAAAATAACTTGCTACTTTTTTATTATACATAAGTAGGTACACCCTGTGTATACATATGTTATATATATGGAATAAGAGAGAGATCAATATTTAACAACACAATTTTTACAATTTAAATGAAAATTTTCAAACTTTATATTAATTATTTTTTAAAAACTTCTACTTCTTACTGAAATAATTTTTAATACGAGTTCTAAATCGCTGCCAAATTTTTTGTGTGTTACTTTCGAATACAATATTAAAAATCTATAAATATTTCATTATTTTTTAATTTTTTTATATACATCTAATACAGTTTTATCTGCTATA